GGGGGGGTTTCTATCCATAATGACTGTTTCAAACCAATATTTAATTTCGCAATAAATCATTTTTGCCAGGCTTGGACTCAGGCAAAGTTGTCATTTGGAATATGGCACCTGTTGTCAGCAAGAAGGCTGAAACTGATGAAAATATCCCCAAAATGCTTTGCCAAATGGACAACCACGAAGGTAAGCCCCACATTTGTGTATCAATCATCCATTTTCTCCGATTTTCTCTTGCTATGTATTCAGTTTTACCATTCTATTACCCACAGCTTGTGTAAACTGTGTTCGCTGGAGTCACTCTGGGCGCTTTTTGGCCTCAGGAGGAGATGATAAACTAATTATGGTCTGGAAGATAAATCAGTATGCTGGTAATTACACTTGTGTTTCTCAAAGTATTATGCAAGTAATTCTCCCTGTAAACAGACAAGCTAAAGACTGTTTACCCTGTTTCTAGGTGGGAACACAGTCTTTGGGACTGGTGGAGGTATTGTTAATGTGGAGTCATGGCGTTGCTCATCCACTCTAAGAGGTCATGAAGGGGATGTGCTGGACTTGGCATGGTCTACACATGATGCTTGGCTAGCGTCATGCTCTGTTGATAATACTGTAATTGTTTGGAATGCTCTAAAATTACCAGGTATAGTTTTGTTGTTTTCATGCACTATGTTCTCTTGATAATAAAAGCAGTTGTAATGTAACTTGCTATTTTTGTTGACAGAAACTATTGCTGTCCTGAAAGGCCATACCGGCCTTGTTAAAGGTGTAACCTGGGATCCAGTTGGAAAATATCTTGCCTCTCAATCAGAAGATCGGACGTTACGGATTTGGAGAACTGTGGACTGGAAAGAGGAGCAAGTTATCAAGGAACCATTTGAAAAGTGTTCAGGAAGCACACATGTGTTAAGATTAAATTGGTCTCCTGATGGTGAATTTCTTGTGTCAGCCCATGCTATGAATGGACCTGGCCCCACAGCTCAAATTATTCAACGTGAGGGTTGGACATATGAAATGGACTTTGTTGGTCATCGGCAACCTGTCACATGTGTTCGTTTTAATAGTGTTTTGTTCCGCCGCCCATCTAAAAAAGCCTCACAGTATTCATGTGTTTGTGCTATTGGCTCTCGTGATCAATCTATTTCGATTTGGCTAACTTCTATGAAAAGACCACTTGTGGTCATTAGAGAATTATTTTCAAATTCAGTTCTTGATGTGTCCTGGAATAGCAATGGAAACCAACTTATGGCATGCTCATGGGATGGCAGTGTAGCTTATATTGAGTTGTCTGAAGAGGAATTTGGTAAACCCCTCACCAAGGAGGAAAAGGTAATTCTATGAGGAACAATTTAAGCAACTGAAGTTTTGCCATTTTGTATCCACCTATACTTGAACCAAATTGTTGATACATGATATGATACTCCACAGATTTCCCTTCAAGAAAAGAAATTTGGGAAATCATTACTTTCTCAAAAAGACACCTATGTTTCAAGAGTTGTTGAAACTCCAGCATTACTGCAACTGCAAAACAAGGCAGAGTTGAAGTCAGATGGAGTCCCTCTGACCGGTTCTGCAGCAACAGTAGAAGATAAAAAAGTGACTTCCACTCCAATTAAAGGACCAATTAGTAAGCAAATTGAAACAAGAACTTCAGATGGCCGAAGAAGAATCACTCCAATGTTTATTCCATCAACTCCAGACAGAGGGTAAGAGGGTGTCTAGCAGTGCCTCCAAAGTTGCAGGCTCGTGCGGGCTACTCCGTCCTCCGCCCATGTTAAAACATAGGCGCCAAAAAAAGAAGCCCGCAACAGCCTGCCCTTTTGGAGGCACTGGTGTCTAGTTAACATGAAATGTATCTACATAAAGCTAGGCTCATTTTTTATGTCTTATTTTGTCTTTTATCTCTAGGGATGTTCCTCAACCATTTAACGCATCTGCATCGGCTCAACCAACCTTTAGCTCAGCTGAAAGCAAAAGTCAAATTGTTGTGGAAAAAAGAGAGGATGTTGTGAAACCAAATGTGGCGACTGTGAAGTCTCCCGTAAAAGACGGTACTTTTATTTCTATACAAATACTTTTTTATCTAGTAGTCTCAATATTACATTAATATTCCTGTAATGATTATTTTTTTAAAATTACTTTTTTTTATTATTAGGACCTGTTGTTAATGGCCATGCTCCTTCAAGTTCTGTTGTTGAAAACACATCTGAGTAAGTTTTTCATTTTATAACATTCTTCTAGTTGCATATATATTTCAATTTTTTTCATTACTGTTAGTGTTATTTCACCAGGTTGAAAGATGAAGTTTTTAGACAACTTCTCTAAGATAGTCTAAATTTATACCTTAAGAATCAATTTGAACATGGATGTTTTTTTTGTTTTGTTAAAGGAAACCCTCTACTACCGCTCCAGTATCTACCCCCTTCGCTCCTGTTTCGTTTGGTGGCAAACGGAGAACAGAGAAAGAGAAGGAAAAACCTGCATCCTCTCAAACTCCAAATCAGGCTTCACAACCTCAACAACCCAAGAGGGCACGCTTTTCGCTTGACAGGCCAGCTGTTGCCTCTCTACCTCCTACTCATACTGCTCAGGATTCAGGTCCTCTTACAGGTCGTGCTGACGGGCCTGGAATATTTTTGCCCCCTCTAAAAAGCTCAACAAAATTAGCAGTCCAGGTACATATACATGAAGTCTTTTCTATGCAAGCTTATGTATGTACTTTTTGTGTAGTTTATTGGTAATAACTATGATGATTATCTTTCAGGTTGAAAGTGCAAGGCTACAGAGGGAAGCTCATTGGGTTGAGGTCGAAAATGCCTTTTCAAACACTGTCTCTGGTCCCTTATCAAGATTGAAAGTTATCCGCAGCTCTGCTGTGTCTTCTGGAACCTCTGTTGGGAGCTTGAAACCACCAACAGTTTTGTGGGATACAGTTTTTGGTATTTTTTATTATTTGTTAGCCTCCTTATAAAATCTTTATTTTGGTTTCCCTCCTTAATTTGCTTAATTTCCTTTCTTTTTAGGGTGCCCTGTCATTGGTCTTGTAGCAAATGCATCATTTGTGTGTGTGGCACTTGAAGATGCCACTTTGCAAATTTTGGATTTTAAAACAGGATGGCGCAGCTTTCCTCCTCTTGTTTTATCTGCCCAAGCTAGTAGACTTTCCCTGAATGTTAATTCTTTCTTCATGGTTGTGACTGCATGTGGGCAAATGAGCATATGGGACCTAAGCAAAAGTCGTAAAGTACTTTCAAATGAAAGTCTTCTACCCATTATGACAGGACTTTCAGGTACTTTATCTCATTTTTTCTGCATTAATGTAGTGTGTAGCAGTTTTATTTTCTTATAACTTTCAATTCTACATATTTTTCTTTCAGGTTCACAAGTTACCTTACTCAGTTGCTCTCTGTCTCAGAATAATATTCCTTTAGTTTCACTATCTACTGGAAAAGCATTCACATTCTCTCTTGATATGGGTTGCTGGTAATTATATGATACATAGGAGCTATGCTTAATGCTTTTTACTTGAAGTTTAGAAACAGCAAACCTTACTTGTGATATCTTTGTCTCAGGATGCAGGTTGGCAATAGTCGCAGCTCAGTTACCCGCAATTCAGCCCATCAGTCTTTCCTTGGCAATCCTGTGTCCAATGGTACTACTTTACCTTTAACTTGTTTACAGGCTGACATTCGCAGGTATTTATCATTGACATCTAGAAGTATGAGTATATGTGTTTCTCTGCAAGGATTACAACCACTGTGAATACTTGTCTTTTTAACAGCTGTGGTGGCGGCAATCGGCTTCTGGGAGTGCCTAGCAGCAGTGCAGCTGCTTCTGTCATTCAACCATGCTCTCTAGCATTTCTTGATGAACAGTTATCAGCCTGTAAGGCAACTTCTTCCCCACAAGAGTACCAGTACTGGCTGTTGACAACAGTTCGATTTCTAGTCCACAATGGTAAGTTTTCCATATTTTATGTTTTTTTTGTATTTTTTAAGTTTTAGAGTGAGTGTGTGGTTTTACAGTCGAATTTTTATTTCTTTGTGCAGGCTTAGAGGAAAGATTAAGGCTCATTTGTAATGATCTTCTTGGACCAATACACATGGGAATATCAAAATCAAAAACATGGGATAGTCACATTTTGGTGAGATTTGTTTCTGATGCTGATAGATGTTTTATTTGTGCAAACTAAATTCCAGTATGACTTATGTAATATTATTTCCATCTCACAGGGTGTCTCTAAACACAGTCTTCTTAAACAAGTGTTAGAGATTGTTTCATCTAACTTAAGGTGGCAGCGATTATGGACTGAGTACACTGACCAAATTCAGTCAGTAGAAGAGAAGCCTAACTGAAGCAATTCTTAAGTTGATTATTTTATGATTTTAGTTGGTAAATCATGTACCTGTGAAACAAGTTTTGAAAATTTACTTGCCTTGTAAAGTTATTTGTTGAAGTAGATAATGAAATATTGAAGATTCTGATGTGTGCAAGTGTTGAACACTGCAATTTTTAATTTCAGATTTTATTCCCTTTCAATTTTAAATTACTTGTATTATTGGTTATTGTGTATTGTCAATCTCTGGTCTAGTTAATTGTCTTTCATGTGTGCTCATTGTTTATACATTTTTTATAAAGTGATGTGATACGTTAGCTATAGGTAACTTTTTGTACATTAAAACACTCATGATTCTTTTCAACCAAATAGTTTAATTAGATATATTTTTTTTTAATTTTACAAAGAAAATGAACAAACAAAATTAACAAAACTTCTTTTTTTTCCCATTGATTTTTTATTCTATAAAACAAATTTTTCAATGTTACCAAAAAACAAAAGTAATAATTTCTACATTATACAACCACTAGTTCCTAGGGATTTTCATTACTGCTTCGATTGCATCTTCCAGCAACAGTGTTTGCTTAACAATTTGCAACTTCTCATGGTGCTTGGGTGTAGGGTAGACAGCTAGTTGTGCCACAACATGTTGACGGACTTTGTCACTCTTCACGCCATACAGGAGTCTTTCAGCTACTTGGTCGCACCAATCGTTCTCCAATGATGCCCTCATTCCTAGCTCCTGAACAGCTTCAACAAAATGCCTATTTGATTCCTTCAGACCTTGTTTCCGGCTGTGAAACAAGGCGTTGTTGCACTCTCCAATGTAGGGAGCCTCATACTCTTGTTGCAAAAGTGTGCACAGTTCGGTGATGGGTTTGGCCTCTACCTTCGAAGGCAGGCAGTAAAAGTGAAGCTTCTGGTACACTTTAAAATCTAAATGCAGAAGGAACAGCTGTCTCCTCTTGTTGGATGCCTCTACAACTTTCCCATCAGATCCAACAGGTTCATCTGGTATGTTGAGATACTTGCACAGCTGATCGAAGAGCTCCAACCAAGGCGCCAGCATCATCTTGTCGGGATTAAACTTCTCAATGTACACTGGTGGGCACATTGCGGGCGCATGAGGTCCAAGAGTATTCGGCATGGCGCAACAGAGCACGTGTTTCGAAGTGTCGGAATGACGATCCGCTGCTTGGTTCCAGTGAGCAGTAGAATCCACAATCTTCACAAACTGAACAGTTCGAAGCCAAATTGTTCAATTCGTTCACTGGCTGATAGTTCTTCGGAAGCAGACAATCAGAAATTCACACGTGTCGTCAAGCACCTCGGCGGACTGGAGCGATAAAGCACTCACGACAGACGAGTGACGAATGTGGAAAATGACTGACGACTGAGTGACAAAATGCCCGCCTTTTCCAGAGTAATCAGTGTAGGTAACAAACCAAGATGAGACAAACCACATCGTATTTTCAGAGTAAATTTCATCATGAAAAGTGAATATATTTTTTTATGTCTTTTATCAAATTTAAACAGTTCTTTTCGAGGAAATGCATTTGCACACCTTCCATAAATATGAAAACTAAATCAATTTTTGTTTGGTGGTTGGCTACTGTAGCTAATTGTAGCTGCGCTCTAGATGACCAATCAGAGCACAGCTAGCAGAAGCTATTCCTCCGAAAACAAAGCAGAGACGTTCTCGAACCGATGTCCTGTGGACGTAAATGTGTGAAAAACCATTGAAATGATTGTTGACTTTTTAAGACACTTAATTCAGGCCATATTGCAGCTAATATTTCCTACCAAGATGAAAGTGTCATATTCGCTCAGTGTATTTATCAAATCAAGTACTGGAAATACATTAAAGGTTGAATTGGATCCGAAGTGGGATATTCGAAGTTTGAAGGAAAGGATAGCACCCAAACTTGGATTAGCTCCCGAGGATGTCAAAATTATATTTGCGGGCAAAGAACTCATGGATTCTATTGTTATTGAGGTAAGATACAATGTACTTAAATTGTTGGTGACTGACTTTCGAGAATAACTGCATAATAGTCTGAAATGTCCATAACCTGTTGGTGTTTTTGCACAAAATTACATCATTTGGAATTGCAGCATTACTTTGTAGTAAATTTTTTTAAAAATCATTTGTAGGAATGTGACCTAGGTCAACAAAGCATATTACATGCTGTTAAAATTCGTCATGTTGAAAGAAATCAAGCAACTAGTAATGATAATGAACCTCACGGTTCTCGTCCAATGAACGAAACACTGGTTGACTGGCAACTTACTGCTAAAGAGCGTAGAAATTTGAAAACAGATGAAGGTAAACTATGTTTTTTTTTAACCTAAGCTGAATGTCTAAAATGACTTATCATTACTTGTTACACTTAATTCTAATTCTTTTTTAGAACGGGAAAGTAAGAAAGCCCATTTTTATGTTTACTGCCCTTCTCCATGCAAAAGCTTACAGCATGGTAAACTGCGTGTCAGGTGCGCCTCCTGTCGAAGTGGAGCTTTCACTGTTGATCGTGATCCACAATGTTGGGCTGATGTGTTAGAAAAGCGCAGGATCACTGGCGCCTGTGAGGAGGAAATCTGTCTGGTAAGTAATAATCATATTTTCATTCAATTTTAGTATTCTATATCTATTTTACACCCACTGTAAATATATGATTGTCAAATTGTTCTGGTTGGTAGGAATTTCATACTGAGGGACCACAGTTTGCTGAATTTTACATGAAGTGTTCTGAGCATACATCACAAGGTGAAGATGATCAAAGTGTTCCATTAAGTTTAATTAAACCTAATATTAGAGATGTTCCTTGTCTCGCTTGCACAGAAGTCAGGTATTCTTATTAAAAATTGTTTTTGTCTTTCTTTTTGAAATATGCTCCTAATCTCCATGTTTTTCATTTATTTTCTTAGTGATACTGTGCTCGTTTTCCCTTGCAAAGAGGGGCATGTCACATGTCTGGACTGCTTTCGTGCCTACTGTGTTTCACGGTTGAGGGATCGCCAGTTTTGGTCTCATCCTGAACTGGGATATACACTGCCATGTCCTGCTGGTTGTGGAGATTCTTTGATTGAGGAGATCCATCACTTCCGTTTGTTAACTGAAGAGCAGGTAAGTTTCTTAATTCGATTCCATTCCATTTCCTGATCTTTCCAAGATCCTGAGACTGAGATTTAAATTAATCAAGTTCATATTTTTCTTTCCTGTTTTGCAGTATGCAATGTATCAGCGCTTTGGAACTGAAGAGTTTGTGCTCCAAGCTGGTGGTGTATTGTGCCCACAACCTGGTTGCGGTATGGGTATTTTAGCCCCAGAAGATTGTCGACGTATTCAATGCCTTAATGGATGTGGGGTAAATATTGTAGTGTGTATAAGGTCTAAACTTAATCTTTTTTGACTTAATTTAAACATTTTGTCTGTTTCAGTTTGTCTTTTGTCGTCAATGCTTGCAAGGTTACCATTTAGGAGACTGTACAGACACAGGAGAAGGATCTGTTGGTCAATCAGGGGGAAATTGTAACTATAATATTGATCCAGTTAATGCTAGTCAGGTATGTGTGTTATTGCATTCAGCAATTTGTTAATTTGTTGGTTTAGCCAATATTTCTGCCGTTGTTGTTAATTTGACTGTTATGTGAACTTACCAGGCTCGTTGGGATGAAGCCAGTAAAGTGGCTATTCGAGTCACCACTAAACCTTGCCCTAAATGTCGCACGGCTACTGAACGAGATGGTAAATTCCAAACCATACATGTTAATTACCTATTAACTCTTTCTCCTGAAAAATGCAATGTACTGTTCTTAACTTTGCAGGAGGTTGTATGCACATGGTGTGCACCAGGCCACAGTGTGGTTTCCATTGGTGTTGGGTTTGCCAGACAGAATGGACAAGAGATTGCATGGGAAGTCATTGGTTTGGTTGATTTTCAAGATGGGTTGTACTGTGCGTGTGCATATATTTCAGATTTTTTAAATTTTTTTCCAAGAAAAATTTAGACTGAGGTACTTAGACTATTATTGTAGAGTTCTGGATACAGATTAAAGACAGGATATTGTTCTTTATCACACCTTTGGTTGAATGACTGATGATATTGTCCAGACCAGATAAGTAAATTCTTTGTGATTGTTTTTCTTAAGTAAAATGTGATAGTTCCTTAAATATTATGTTTGGTATCTATTTTATATTCAAGTTATGTATTGTTAAAAAATCTGGTGCAAAAATAATCAAACTCTGAAATATTTTTGTATAACAATCAGGGAAATCTTGCACTTTGTACTTACCCTTCAATTTTGTAGTTCTTTCTTAGTGTTATTGTTTGTAAATTTATCTTATGTTATTAGTATTTGCTAACCAATTCTGATTTGTTTTCTACTGTGATTGTTGGCATGTGATTTAGATATAT